GGGGGGAAGGGGGAGCAAATACCAAACTTGATCTAACTCAAAGTTTAAATGAAAATAGATATTTAAATTTAATCTTGCAGGCTCATCCCTAAGTCCTTAGGAACCAAAAACTCTGGAAAATCAAATTAGAGTATTGATAAACTCCTGATCCCTGGCAGTGTTCAAGGACAGAGCCTTGGGTGACATGGTTTAGTGTGAGGTATCCCTGCTCATGGCAGGGGGGTTGGAACTAGATGATCTTAAGGTCCTTTCCAACCCAAACCATTCTATGCTTCTAGCTTATACCATGAAGAAAGACAAAAAGGGAAACCTGATGCTACAGGCTGCTTCTGAGGGTAACTATCCACTGCTATAGAAACCCTCAATAAAACCTTGCATGTGCTTTTGTAGTTCACCTGTTCTTCCCTGTTTAGACAGAAATTAACAGAGGTCTATATAACCTGCCATCACCCATTCATTTTTGGGAGGAAATATCATTCACATACTTGGGTGTGGTGTCTACACTAATATAACTATATATTTGTTTAGCTGTTAAAATGTTCTGTAACCTTACTGTAACCAGTAGACATGGTTTCAAGCAGTCTTGGATTTCTTTGGGTTATCACTGGCAAGAATGAATGTCCTTCAGGCCAGAAACTCTGGAATATTTTCCTGGCCTTCTTAATACTGCTGACTAAAGTACCAATTCCTGCTTCAAATAGCAGTCTGGATTCAGCCGTCAGTGCGTAGCGTGCCTAGCTCCATACTGTGGGCCAGCGTCTGTGTTCTGGGTTTGTTGGCACAGAAGCAATAACCATTTGGTTTTAATGAAAAAAGGAAAATAAGCTGGCATGGGAAATGTTTTTAAGAGGTAGTGAACTATGTTTTTATTTTTGTGTCTTCAAAACAGAGGGCATTTTAGCTAATTATGTTTTCTAAACATAATCACAACAGTACATCCCAATGACAAAAAAGAAAATAGATGTAAATTGGAAGAAGTTGGAGGAAATGCAGCATTATTAACAGTGAAAATTTGACTGTAATTCCTTTTCTAACCCATGTGTTATACTTCAGTGTAGCAACAGGAAGAGATTCAAATTGCTTGCAAAACTTCTGCTTCCCTACCATTGCAATAATAAAAGGCTAGGAATGGATGGGTAAATAACAGAAGAGAGATGTCACTGGATGAGAGCTGTGTGGTTAGAGTATTGATTACAAGGTGTAAAATCATTTGAGATACTTCAGTTTGTATCTGTAGATTGGCTGAAGGACAGTGAGGATGGTGAGCAAGAGGTTCGTGGAAATGACCAATAGAAAGAAGGAAAGATGCAGAGATCAGAGATACTTTGCTGGGTGGCAAGGGCACAGGCAATGTACCATTAACAGGTTGGTGTTTCCCTCTCCCTTTTGGTCACCTTTCAAAAAATACATCTGTGTTATTTACATTAGCAGGATTTTTATCAAAATTTTGTTCTTGCAGACACTGACTATCATTAATGTAAAACTTGGGTCTGAAATTGGTATGTCTGAAATACTGCCAAATTGCACTCATTCTCTCAAAGTACTCAGAGGGGGTTTTCAAAAGGCATGACCTGTGCTTTTGATGGTACCACTCCTATTCTGCTGCTTAAAATAAATTACTTGTTCTACGAAACGATTCAGAATTGCCTTGTGGTGCTGAATAACAGGGACTCAAAGGTTGCCCCTGTCGGAGGCTACAGTGAGGGCCATACTATGCCCAATGCCTGCTTTGTATCCTTGTCTGGTGTAGCTCACTCTTCCCTCTGTGTGCTGTGTAAATGCTCAGGTGCCTAACCCAGGTGGGATTGTGCTGGGCTGTGCCCTTGGTTTGATTTCAGTTGCTGTATAGCTAAGCAGTCCCTGAGCTTTGTTGGATCTGTCTTTAAGTGTTTGTTTCCAAAAATAACCAGGATCATCTTTTTTCTCTCTAGAAAAGTTGATTGCATATCAACGGGAATTTCATGCTTTGAAGGAACGTCTTCGTATAGCTGAGCATCGCACTCTGCAACGCTCTTCTGAGCTGAACGCGATCTTGGAGCAGTTCAGGCGTGCAGTAGCTGAAACAAATGGGAGTAAGAATGCAATGAATAATTTTTCAGGTACATACTGTGAGCTATTTTTTATAACTCTGCAAAACCACTATCTCTTCCTACTACTATAGAATAAGAAATCAATACTTAGAAAGCCAAACGAAACTGTTCAGCAATACGAATAAAGAATATGCAATATGTTGCATCTGTTGGGATTCTTTTGGGGTTTTGTTTTTTCCAGTTTGCATTCTTAATGATCTACGTACTCTTCATTTTTATGACTTTAGGGACTGAATACTTATTCCACACCTAGCTCCCAAAGTTTGGAACTTGTAGTTACTTTTTAGCATACTAAACATATTTTGACAAAAATTTACATCACATTTTAAATAGAGCTTGAGGCGAAAGGTGAGCAAACAGAAGACGTGGATTAACTTGAATCAATTCAAATATGTTTAAAAGTCAGCTGGAATATGTAAAAATATGCAGGATAAGGTATTGTTTATGATTTGTAAAATACACATGTAATGTCCTGTTTTAATAACTAGTGATTAAATGATAAACTGGTAAAGTCATCTTTTACCCTGAGGTTGATGCTCAAGTTTACTGAGAGCTGTGTTTGACAGTATTAGAGAATACCTTTCCACTACTCACCAGATTATTGAAGTTAACTTTTAAAATCACGCTATTACTGCTTTAGTCACTCTGATTCTTCTAGATGGACGAATGAATAACAAACACAAACTTTCTGGCAAGAAATTTCTGTAGGTTGCAGAAATTTCACTGTATTTGCCTAATAAGGAATATAAACCAAAAGAGTTTTGAATCTGTCTACTTGCATTTGTGCTGAGGGTTACTATTTTGTGTAGATTTTTCCCCCCTGCACCTCCTTCTATCTGACACTGATGACCTGTTCAACATGATCTCTGCAGGTCCCTGGATCTCCAGGAATGATGTGAATAAAGGTTACATTTAGCATAGTCTGTGACTCTTCCTATTCTGTGTGTATGTTGTTTGCTGTTAAAGCGAACAGCCATAGGGAAGTCAAGTAATTTTGATACTGGATTTAAGATTTATTACCACATTAATCTCTAAAAATGAGTTAGTATGCTTTTAGAGAATATAGTTATAGGGCTTTATTCTCTTCTATGCAGCTGAAGTTACTGATTCACATTTTTAACATTCTACTATGTCTGTTTCCCAGCTGGGACATCCTCTTTTTTTCCATGTGGAGCCATGATGGGAAGCCAGCTGAAGTCTGAATTCCTGAGCTTTTGTGCTCAGAACTTAGTATTAGATAGTTTAGGGGTTTGCTTTGGTTTTTTTATTTGTGTTTGTGGTTTGGTTGTGTTTGGGTTTTTTTTTTTTTTGTTTTGGTTTTTAAGTAAATTTTATCTACTTAAGTGTACATATTGTTATGTGGTACTTGCTATCTTTGAAGCTGAAAGAATTCCAGATTTTTTTATGTAGATTTATATTCATTCATACAAAGAGCTGTCATCTTTGACAGATTTTTTTAGTCCAGGTTCTGCAATTGATGCTAAAGGAAATAGGTAGCAGGAAAAGTAAAATGTAGCTGTATTAGAATCTATCAAAATAAGCATCTCTACTTATGGCATCTATTTACAAAGATTTTTTTCAAGATTTTAAATGGTTAGGAATTTACTTTAACCCATAAATAAATATTAAAAAGCCTCCAAACAAACCAAACCAAACTCCACAACAAAACCCTTCTATCTTTGTAGAAACTACACTCAAAATCTGAGAGGAGTGACATTTATGGCATTACTTTTCTCACTTCTTCACAATTCAGTTTTATCTTGGAAACCCTGAGTACAGTTTTTTACTTAACTTGATATTATAAAGCCTGTAAGTTTTCAAAGTTCCATATGCTATCATATTTGTCGTTTGAAACAGGAGTTGTTTTCACACTTGATGTAAGAAAATCAACACGTACATCAGGGGAATTTAAAAACTGTTATTTGCAACTTTGAGAGCCACCTGGACATCCTGTGAGGCAGTTACTCGAGAAAGAGCAAGAATTATTTTAAGTACTCTAATGGACTACATTAAATTCACATTAGGATTTATTTTATTACAGAAATGCTCAAAATCTCAATTGTATATTTAGTGCTGGTTTTGCTTTGTTATCTGTATATGCAGTATATTCCAATATGCATTTGTAGCTTTGGAAAGTTATTTGCAGTAGCATCACTACATGGTGATGTGTTTTGTAAGCATAAGTAAAAACTTAGCTAGGTAAGTAAGCCTCCCATTTTGATTCATTTGGGGGAAAAACCTTCGAACAACCAAAACAAGAAAACCACCCCAGACAGTGAAACCCCTAACTAAATGGAGCATTCTTTACTTCTGTGATTACACACTATGTCTTATGTGATCAGGTAAGTATTAACTATATTTGTAGCAGGGTTACTTGGTACAAAATAATCTTGGCCATTGTTTATTTAAAAAAATTAAGAAAAGACTTCCTTTGTAAACAAGATATAATGCCTCAGTAAAATGCATCATTAGTTCTGTTTTTTAGTTAAGACCAAGCTTGGAATTTTGGACTATTTACCACTGCATAAAATTTAATGTTGTTTTCTGCATTACCAATTTCATGTTTGTTTGCAGATGAGACGCTGAAATTGTTGAAAGAGCTAACAAGTAGAAAATCTCTTCAAGTGCCAAATATCTATTACCATTTGCCTCATTTGTTGAAAAATGAAGGAAGCCTTCAACCTTCTGTGCAGGTTGGCCTTGGAAGGACAGGAGGTATGCTGATATGATGTTTATTTTATGTTTGATATCTGGAGGACTTTCTAGTTTTAGTAATGTTATTTCCTGCATTCCTTGGGAGATCAAGGACATCTTATTTAACTTGTGTGATATTGATATCTCTTAAAATTCACACTGAATCCAAGATGAAAGGAGTTTGGCTTCAGCCTTGTTCTTTTTTGCATAATCTCAGTCACAGCCCATGCCGTGTTAAGGTGCACATTAAGAAGCATTTAGTTTAGATGAATTTTTTGTAACTAAGTAAAAAAGGAACAAAGCTCAAGCATTACAGATTCTGAACTGCTAATGGTAATATCCCTTTGGCTTTTCAGATTTGTGGGGCAACCATGTATGGATATAATTATTTTAGAGTTGATGTTTCTGGTTTTTTGAACAGTATGTTTCAGCGTATAATTTAGAGTTGGGAGAACTAGGATAATCCAATATAATTGCATCAATAAAATGTAGACATTCACTGAAGGGGAGAAAATCAGTGTTGTGCTGCAGTGCTGCTGATCTCCCCCCCCCCCCCCCCCTCGCCTTTTTTTTTCTCTTTCTTTTTTTTCACCTAATCCTCACTGATTCTGAGCCTTGATTATTAGAATAGCTCCATGGAATCCCACTCTTGGAGCTCTATAAGTATAAAGCCCAACCAAACTGATATACCTCAGAGCATATGTGTGTGTGACTAAGCTTGAAGGCGCCAATAATGAATCCTTGTTTCTGTTTGTGCCATCTGACTTGAATGGTTCATGTTATTGTCCACTAGATCTTTCTCTTTTCTTTTCCCCCTCCTCTCTTTTGAAAGAAACATTAGTTACTCTTGGCCTGTATTTTATTTCATTACTTCAGTACATTTGATTGGTCCTTCTTTTAACAGAAGGCATGCCTGTGTGACAAATGTGTGGGCTTCAAGCCACAGAGTTATTTTTCTGACTATAAATGCTATTTATTTCAATCTTGTTATTCAGGAAGGAAGAGGCTTATATTCCTTTATTGTTTTAAGTGAAGCCTGCATTATAGCCCACTGGGAATATATGACATAAGTTTGAAATTGCAAAATAGAAATTGAAATGAGGTTTATTAAATTAAAAAGAGGGAGGAAATTCTGAGTTGAAATTATTTTCCCATCTTCCCCTTTTCTGGTCACTGTGCTTTTTGAGTGTTTGTTTTAAAAATTCAGAGCTTGCTAATGTGTAGTTGCTAGGCGAGGCAGGATCTGTAAGGAAGGATAAACAACATTTTAAATAGTTGTTTGGGTTTATATATTTATGATGTGGTAAATTATTTCACATAAATAGCTCAGAACACTGGTGCTGACTTCATGAAGTCTGCTTTATCTTTTTACTGTGTTCCTGCTGCTGTGTCCTATTAGGTAGTCAGCCCTGGCTATGGGGTAGGGTGCAGAAGAAAGACTATGGGAAATTTAAGGAACATGGAAGTCAAATGGGCAGCTGAAACATAGTCTTAATAGTGTTGTAGCTGGGGTCAGATTGTTTTGCATTTGAGGTGCTTTTAACAGGGATAAGATTTCAGTAATTTCTGGGTAATGCTGAAGAACTCAAATCAGGTGCAAGGAAAGTTAGAGTTTTTCAGGGGTGACATTTTAAAAGAAGACTTCTGAGAAGTTAAATACTTGAGTAGTGAAGAATGGTTATGCCAGTTTGAAAATAAAGCTAAGTTAGAGAGTTTAATCACTGTTAGTCTTGGTGCACCTTATCTGATTGATATGATGGTTGTTGGTTATTGCCTATTGTGTGGCAAGGTTTTGGTTGTGGGGGATATAGGAGTGGCTTCCATGAGAAGCTGCTAGAAGGTTCCTCTGTGTCCAATGGAGCCAATGCCAGCTGGCTCTAAGACAGACCCACTGCTGGCCAAGGCCAAGCACATCAGCAATGGCGGTAGCACCTCTGGGATAACATTTAAGAAGGGGAAAAAAGTTACTGCTCAGGAGCAGCTGCGGCTGGAGAGAGGAGTGAGAACATGTGAGAACGGCAGCCCTGCAGACACCACAGTCAGTGCAGAAAGAGGGATGGTGCTCCAGGTGCCAGAGCAGAGATTCCCCTGCAGCCCATGGTGCTGCCCATGGCAAGGCAGGCTGTGCCTCTGCAGCCCATGGAGGTCCATGCTGGAGCAGATCTTCACCTGCAGCCCATGGAGGTCCATACTGGAGCAGGGGGATGCCCAAAGGAGGCTGTGAGCCCATGGGTAGCCCAGGCTGGAGCAGGCTTCTGGCAGGACCTGTGGCCCATAGAGAGAGCGGAGCCCATGCTGGAGCAGGTTTGCTGCAGGACTTGTGGCCTCATGGGGACCCATGCTGGAGCAGTCTCTTCCAGAAGGGCTGTACCCTGTGGAAGACACCCACGCTGGAGCAGTCTGTTCCTGAAGGGCTTCATCCCATGGAAGGTACCCATGCTGGAGCAGGGGGAGAGTGTGAGGAGTCCTCCTCTGAGGAGCAAGGAGCACCAGAGACAACATGTGATGAACTGACCACAACCCTCATTCCCCATACCCCTGCACTGCTGGAGAGGAGGAGGCAGAGAATTCAGGAGTGAAGGTTAGCCTGGGAAGAAATGAGGAGTGATGGGAAGGTGTTCTAAGATTTAGGGTTTATTTCTCCTTATCCTACTCTGATTTGATTGGTAATAAATTACATTAATTTTCCCCAACTCAAGTCTGTTTTGCCTGAGATGGGACCTGGTGAGTGGTCTCTCCCTGTCTTTATCTTGAGTCTTTCATTATATTTTCTCTCGCCTGCCCAGCTGAGGAGGGGAGTGATAGAGCAGCTTTGGTGGGCAGCCGGTGTCCAGCTAGGGTCAACCCACCACAAGTATACAATAATCTGGCATGTCTAGGATTACTTCTTTTTTTTTTGTTTGCTGTGTTTGCTCTAAGCTTTGGTGGTGATTGTGTTAATCATGCTCCTAATGATGGGTGGTATATTTTTAAACCATTTTTAATTACTGTTATCTCCATTTTTTGACTCTTTGCATTTCTTAAGCAATGCTTTATTACAAGGTAAGATTTTTGGTTTCTATCTTGTGTATAAGATCACTGAAAGTACATTTCTGGTTTGTTTGATTTCAGTTTCCATTGTAATGGGAATACCTACAGTGAAAAGAAAAGTCAAGTCTTACCTTACAGAAACTCTCCACTCCCTTATTGATAAGCTGTCCCCTGAAGAAAAACTGGATTGTGTTATGGTTGTCTTTATAGGAGAGGTAATCACTTACATATTTTATGCAACTTTACCTGCCTTTATAATTACAAGTACCACTCCTTTCAGGAATTGATGAGGTTCTACTTTTTCTTCAAGATGTAGACTGGTAACTCATTCCATGAAAAGGAAACTGCATCAGTCTTGTATTTCTGGTAGAAACAATCATGAAGAGCCCAGATTTGTCTATTTATCAAGGGAATAGTGGGCACAGATTCAGTAGACTGGTTATTTCTCTTTATGCGTAGTGACAGACATGCGCTAATTACCTTATTTCTTCAACATCAAAGTAGTGGCTAAGAGTCTCTGGTGTCACAGGGAGGATTCTTCCCATTTTCTTCATGCTACTGCTCAGTCCTTTGTCAAATGAGTGCTGCAGCTTGAGATACTAGGCACAGATTGTTACTGGGTTTATTTTCTGGAAAGCGTGGATATTTTAAGTCCAGACTTTTTTAATGGACTAATTCAAACAGTGTTCAGTTGAACTGTTTGGTCAGTTTGGCTCTGATTTAGTGGAAAACAAATTTAGGAAAATGATAGAGTGCTTTCAGAAATAATTTTGTTGACTGCTAGGAATTGTGTGTACTTATTTTGGTCTGTGTGTTTTTCTTAGAAATCTGACTTGGAGAGTGGGAAATGTATATATATGTTTGCCCGTCATCCATCTAATCATATAGTGCTCTACCGAAACACTGTTTTGTGAGTCCCGCAGATGAAAATTCAAATCCTCTAGCTACTACTGAAAACAATTTTAATCCTGGGAGCCAGTGTCTATTCAGGGATGAATCAGTGAAAAAATAGATAGGCGTTTTAATACTTCTGGCTGTATTATCAGCACATTCTAAAGCTTTCCTTGAAAAGCTGGTAAAATTTTTACCTGTACCTGAGAAATGATTCTTACAGCGTTCTGATGTAAATTGTTCTGCTTTCTCTTTCTTGATAGTCAGTCATAAACTTGTCTGTCTGGATAGATCCTGCTTTTCTGCAGAAAATGCTCTTAAAGCATTTATATGGAGTATCGAGAGAATTATGTAGACTATCAAGAGAACAGAATTAATTCCAAGTTACTGGAATGCTGAGTTTTTCATCACTGTATTAGTTGGAGTAATTTTATTGCCTTTTATGTAGCTTCTTTTTCAAGATTTAAAACTGAAGTTTCATTTTGTTTTGCTTAAGGAGGTTTGAGCTATGAAGACTGTGTTATCAATGGATTCTGTCTTCTACAAAACTTATAAGTGTCCCAAACTGCCATATTGCTATAAGCAAGTTTTCCATAGCTAAATAACTTTCTTCCTTTGAGGTGGTGTGAAATTCTCTTTCACCTTGGGAATGATTCTACAGCAGTGACCATAAAGGAAGTGAACATTTTAACATGGGAGCTATGGCTTCTGTGCCTGAGGAGAATTGTGTAGTTTGCTCCAGAGTGGGATACTGTTACCCTCTGTTATCTCTGTATTGATGTCTTTGAGAGCAGCATTATGTGCCTGCTTGCATCTGATATGGGCACCACAGCCATGAATGTCTGGGAAAATCTGAAGAACCCAAGTTTAAATTTTTGTCCTGTTACAATCATTACTTAGATTTCCGTTTTTCTTTATTCCATCCAATTTTATGTCTTTCCTAGTTACTATTTCTTTTACTGTTTTCTTAAGTTCAATATCTTATCGTTTGCTTTGTAGTTGCTAGAGGGAACTTTTTCAGTGATTAATAAGGTACAGTAAATACTTCATCTTGAACTATGCTGTGCTTTTTCTGAGTTATGCTGTATATTTCAGCTTCCTTCTGCAAGATGAATAGTGTATGTTTATTAAGCAATTTCTCTGGCTAGTTGAAGGAAGGCCTGTTTCCCTGGTGGATTTTTGTTTCTCCTTAAACAAAAGGAAGGGCTTTAGCTTTTAAAATTGCTTTGTCTGTAGGGTTTCCTACCCTAAAATGTGTTAGACTATTGCTGTCATTAACTTGTGTGCATTAATGAAAGCTTATTAAAAAATACATTAGAGCTTTGACTAGCTATGCTTGTATCAAAAATCATGGCAAAAGTTTCTGAGAAAAGATAAGGCCTCTGTTCAACTTCTGTGCAGTTTAAGTACAGCAAGAAATGGTCATAGCATGAGGTTAGGTAATTTTGCTAATAAGCTTAAAATTACTATCTGTGCTTTGTCTATAGCTTGTACCAACAAAAAAACCCACAGGACTTTACAAAATTGTTTTTACCAGAGAATTATGTGAAAAATGGTATTTTAAAAGGATTTTAGTATTTTCTTGCTGACTTTATTTGCGAAATCAAATTGACAGTCTTTAAGAGCATTGCTGGGAGCTATAGTCATGGGCTGTAATCTTTTTTTGCTAAACACCCTAGAAAACTCTTTTAATACTGCTAATTTTTTTAGCAGTTCAATCTCACTCCTTTCTTGTAAATTTCACTTTTTTTCTAGAAAACAAGTTGAAAATTAAGGCTAATGGCCTTCTGCAAGCAGCATGAACACTGTAAACAGATGAGCTAGTAAATATAGATGCGTTATGGTTGCTAAATAGAGATCTGCATATTCATTTACTGTATGGATATTTCTCAGTAATGTAATTATACACAGTAAATTTCCATACTGGAAGTTCAAGGAATTCTAAAATATCTCAGCTGATGTGGTATCTAATCACCAGTTTAAATAATTACTAGAATTGCTTGACAGTAAACTCTGCAATTGTCACAGTAACTGACATATGTCTGTTCTCCAATTTGTTAAAATAGCTTTATTGCAGAATAATTTGTAGGTATTCATTAGGATGACTAATAAATAGACATGATTCAGTGTATAGTTAATCTTTTTACTCCCCTTCGCTATGTAGCTAGTACATAGGCTCATCAGATAACTTGAAACAAGCGACTGAAATCTCATTAACCTTCTCTGTATGAGAACTTGCTGTCAGAAAAAAAACAACCCCTATAGGCTCTAGGTTTAAGAAGCTATGAGCTCCAGATTAAAACTGTCATCTAGTATTTTTGTTTAATAAAGTTTGTAATTAACATGGGAAACAAGATTTTGAAGTATCATCATAGTGGAACAACAGACATATGTATGCACACCCGTTACTGAATATGAGAGACATTAGAATGTTTTTCTGATATCTAGGGGTTTTTTTGGTTTTGTTGTTGTTTGGTTTTTTTTGTTTTTTTCCTGTAGGGAATCTCATTTACCATGAAGAAAATTCATCTCAGACTTATTCTAAATATATCACAAATTCTTGTCAGTCCACTTCATCAATCAGTGACTGCACTTAGCACAGTCTTTCGTACAAACAGTAATCAGTGTATAGTGGAATGACTACAAGCCCTTGATTTGACAAAAAATATCAGAAAGGCAAATAATTCCAGTAAGAATCAGAAGACACTACAGGTATGAAAAAGTGTTTTGCTAATTCTCTACGCTACTGATTACATCTGAGTATAGGCAGCGGTTGACCAGCTATTTGTTCTTGGAGCACTAGGCCTTGTTACGCTTTCTTGCGTACTGCTTATTCAGATCTTATTCTAGTGTTTCATGCGTGTACAATTCATTTAGGCTAGAAAAGCTTGCATATCTCAATTATCTTTTACTGTCACCATGCCATATCTTCATGTAAACAGTGGCTGCTAAATTAAAACATGTTGATCTTCAATAGTGATTTCTCTGTGCTCCTTTTGTGGAGAACCTTTTTTCCTTTGGAAAAGCTTCTGTACTAGTTGGGTCAGTGTGACACAAATACCCAGCAAGGTACCATCCTGTATTCTGGTATGAACAAAGCCTCAGCAAACTAAGCACTGAGTGCACATTTTGGGTCAAACCTTGCTTAACCTGTTTTGAATGTATTAATATTGGAGTACAATATGTAAAACTTTCCCAGCAAAATAAACAAGCCTATATTTTTACCTCTTTTTGCTCTGGGCCTGAATTATGTACCTCTTTGATCAGAAGATATCTTGACAGAAAACAAAGGAGTATTTTGTCTCTCTTGCTCTCAACATGGATATACTAGTATCATCCTTGCTACAGAGATAATTCCATGCATTCAGCAAGTTGTTGAAAACTTGAGAGCTGCCTCTTCCTGGAGCTGCCCTGGAGAGTGTGTTCATAGTCCTCAAAAGATCTGACCACGTCTCAAGTTGGAGAAAGACCAGTAGGTCTTAGCATACACATACGTATGTACATAATATATATATGTATTTAAAAAAAAAAAAAAGCTAGACAAGGCTGTTGTAGAATATGATACATTATATTAATCAGGTAATTTTAAAGGCCTACACAGATGGTAGCCTGTGTTTTGGACATCTTACTCAAACTGATCAGGATGACCACAACTTCTAGGTATACTGCCAGCTCTTACATGTGGTACGGTAGCTTGGCCTAGCAGTGAGAATTTAAGGTATTTAAACTGCTTCTGCAATCCCTGTTTCTTTGGCAGCTAAGCTTTGGTACCCAAAGAGTAGGGACTGCTGATACTGGGCACTGTCATAGGATCTTATGTTCCTCTTTGCATGGCAGGGACTAGCAAAGTTTTTTATATATGACTAAACCAGTGATAATCCTTCTTAGATCTAAGTAAACATCCTTGGCAGGATTTGAAAACTTCCATATACCTGTGACAAATTTATTGCCTCAGCACAAAGGTGAAATTCAGTATTGTGGTCTTTTCTCAAACCCTAGACTTCAATGACTGAAGTGCTTCTCTAAGTTACCTTCCAAGATGCACCTTGGCCACAGTAACTGTCTGATGCTTCTTGTAAGGGAATATCACTGTTTTCAGAATTGTATCTCTCTTTGGTAACATTTAGTGTATTTGCAAGATGGAAAGTAAAAGTTATAATCTGTGTTCAGAAGCATTCTAGTAGGTGACTTCATACCTGGATGATTGACTGAATTGACTCTTTGAGTATTGGGCAACACTATCAAATTTTGCTGCTGTGGTCTGCCTTGCCCTAAAGATAATGAGGACAAATTGCTGTTGTCCTCCAAATAAAGGATACAAATA